TTTCTGAGGAACTACATTGTTTGGTGGAAGAATACTGTTTTTATTAATATCATTACACTTTATTTGCTCTGTTTTGTTCTGTGAAACCTTACTACGTATATGGAATAACTCCGCTTCGCGTCGTGCCTAACAACGCCCCTTAGCTGTTATAAATTCACTGTAAACCACGGCTTCTTGGGGCTTATTGCTTTAGTATGTGCTGTTTAACTGGACTAGAACTGTAAATAATAAAAAAGGTACAATAAAAATTTGATATTGTAAGCCTGGAGATTTCAACCTGATCTTGAATATATATTGAAATTAAAGTAATATCTTACTAAATTTGAGACACATTTTCTAACAAATTGTACCTCCCAATTTGCCTTTAATATCCACAGATATATTCATGTGTAATTAACAGGCACGTGAATCTAATCTAATTCTTATGGTCTGTTTCAGGCCACTTAATGTTGTAGCGTCAGTGAGAGTGCAGAGCTGATAGTGGGGATGAATAATTAACTGCAGCTCCCTGATCATGTGTCAATATATCCTCCCTTCAGGTTCAGGTCCAAAGATTATATGCAAAGGAAGAACAAAAGTGCGGTGGTATAAGACACTTCATTTAATGTCCGTCTTGAGTTACACTAAACCAGTTAAACCACTGAGCACTGGGGTCTTCATTCGTGTCTTCAATCCTGATGATCACATTCTCCAGCAAGATCTTACAATGATTCAAAGAGCATCCTGAGCTTCAGCGGAAGCAAGAACATCTGAGAGCTTCCCTGATCAGTGCTCAGAAAGCTTGAAGCATTATTATATGATGCATTATAAAAGTATTTTAATGCATTACTTATGCCTTATAATGCATTGTATATGAGCTCATTAATAACTGTAACCACAGTTATAATACATATAATTTTTTTACACCTTTAGAAAGTATAACACGACAACCAATTTCAGATGAATCCGCAAATAATGCATTTTAACTATGTTTACAATTATTTATGAAAATATATAATGCATTACAACATACATTATTTATAGCTTTATAGTGCATTCTACAGGCTTCAAGCAGTGTTACCAAACTGTTTTACCTGTTTTTTAAGATTTATTTTTGGCATTTTTGCCGTTATTATGACAGAACAGTGAAATGGGAGAGAGAAAGAGGCGGGATCGGGAAAGGTCCTTGAGCCGGGATTCGAACTCGGGACGCCCGTAGCGCAATGGCGCTACATTTTACGTTTTTAATAAAAATCCTACAGCTGTTTGTTTGTAGGGTTGAATGGCGTTATTTCAGACTTTTGGTCCCATCTGTATGTTAACTGCATATTTAAAACAATAAATTAACTATCATAATCAAGTAGAGACCATGAAAATTTGTGTTGGGCTACTAAACATAAAATTAATCTGAAATACATTTAACACTCACCTAACCTAAGTTAATTTGATTACCATGAATATGTTGCTAATTATTAAGCAGTTTTTGAATAAAAGTATGTTCCCAGCAAATAAATCTATGCCATCAACATAAAAAGAACTATATTGAAAATAGTTTTTTGCACTTTTTATTTGACCCATACATCACAATTTCACCATCTTCTTGGAAGACAACAGCATTTCTTTCCCTAATGATCATTCTTTTATTTTGGCCAAAAAGCGCGTTGGTCCAAAAGCAAAGCAGTACAGCACAAAGAGACCACAAGAAATCATTACAAACAATACAGACAGAGGAAGATTCACAATCATTTGATGCACAGCTGTCTGTGCGTGCAGGTCCCACATCCTCAACTTTGACCGCAGAGAACAATAGTGGCATATACTGCAAACAAGACCAACTGAGAGCAGCAGACATTACCGATGCCAGATGAAATGAATTAGATGTGGGACCACGACTCACATCTAGATTGTAAGACTGTGCCAAGTATACAGTATAAAAATTAAGTACCAATATGATCAACATAACATGCTAGAGGATAACCTGCTGGAAAAGTCAATGCTACAACCTCCAGTGAGCTCAATTTGATGGCAACAGACACTTGATGGAACAGCATGCACATGTGAACTATGCCGTATGGAGGGATTCGGCTACTAGATGATGAATTTCGTGGTTGCAGCTGAAGTACTGAGCTAATTAAGAGCTCAGGGAGGGTTTGCATTGCTTATCACAGAAACACCAACACTTAATGCATTATTAGAATGAAATGAGATGAAGTTCTGCAGCATAACAGGAATGTGTCGGAGTATATTACCCACTCATTGGGTTAAGCAGTTAAGCCGATCGCTCTCATTATGTGTCCGGATCATATTTCGTTCTAAAATCAAAAGACGAAAATAACAAATTATATTTTGCAAAATGATGCCTTTTTTTGTTGCATTTTGAAATTATCTTCATGACAATTTAGCAGAATTATCATTATAGCAATGCAGATCAATTTAAATGTAAAATTAAAATTGCTAAAGCATTTATATGTAATAGTAGTATTATATATACTACTAGCTTATCTGTCATGAAAGAAATATCACAATGCAAAAATAAATCCTATTTTTTAATGCAAAATATGATTTCTTATTTTGGTAAAACATGGCCAAAACATTGTGGGATTCATCCTTACGGTGGATTTTCAGATTCTTAGATATTTCAGACTTTGGAATAAGGTTTGTACCCAGAGGAAAATACTTGCATGGAAAACACATTCGTACAGACATTTATTGGCACAGTTTAACGCAATGGAACGTTTTTCAGTCCCTGGATTTGGGAATGTTAAACGGAAATCTGTCTCGGAGAGCATACCTGTGGCTTCAACACTGCTAAAACACACAATACAAAGCAGTGTGCTTAATATAGAATCCAATGCAGCTGGTTCACATCATGCTGGAAATTAGGGCCTGTGTTTTTAAGGTACCAACACATAATAAATTTCAGCCCATGGAGAGTTAACCATTTCTAAATGATTTATCAGTACTAAAAGCGGGAATAAAGGCCATCTATACAAATCGGACACAAAATGATGCCTGTGTTTCTTGGACTGTGCAGTAGTTCAATCTGGAATAAACATAGGGCTGCTGCTCAGATTAGGTGACCTTATTACTACACATCCAAGAGCTCTGATCCAAACAAGATTAAGACAAATTAGTGGCGTTTAAGAGTCGGAACCAAAGAGGACACAAGAGAGGAAATAAACAAGATCATTGAAACAAAAGCATGAAGGAATGAAAGAGTGAACGGGTCTCAGTTTGAGGTGGTACAGAGTAAGTAGGTGCTTTTCTGTTAATTTTTTTGGCATTTGGCATGGCATTGACACATCGAAGGCAGGCGCCGCCAGCGGAGCAGAGGGGGACAGGCAGGCCTCCCTTTGGGAATGTGGACATGGACCAGGGGAGGGAAGAGGATGATGGTTGCTACCAGGTTTGGCTCTCATTCAATCTTCAGAAACTGTTCCACTGTGTCTGCCTCCACCGCCTCAGAAAACATCTCGTAGTTCTGAAAGAAAGAGAAACACACATAGTATGAGTTTCAGCATATCTATGCAGACCTGAAACTAATCTGGGAAAAAAAAGAAATAAATAAAAAGGAAAAAAATACTGTAGGTGTGTTATTGAATATCTTTGAATTCTCAATAATATATTTGTATAATAATGTTGGTAACCAAACAGTTGCTGGTAATCATTGACTTCCATATTATTTGGAAGTCAATGGGAACCAAAACCAACATTCTTGGTTACCAACATTCTTCCAAAATATCTTCTTTAAAGTTCCAAAGAAGAAATAAAGTCACACAGGTTTGGAATGACACGGAAAAAAATACTGTAGGTGTGTTATTGAATATCTTTGAATTCTCAATAATATATTTGTATAATAATGTTGGTAACCAAACAGTTGCTGGTAATCATTGACTTCCATATTATTTGGAAGTCAATGGGAACCAAAACCAACATTCTCGGTTACCAACATTCTTCAAAATATCTTCTTTAAAGTTCCAAAGAAGAAATAAAGTCACACAGGTTTGGAATGACATGAGGGTGAACATGATGACAATATTTCTATTTTTCTGTGAACTTTCCTTTTAACAAAAACCGTCAACTCAAAACACGCATGCTGTTCCAAGCCTGCATGACTTTCTTTGTTCTGTGGAACAAAAAAAAGAAGAAACATTTTGAAGAATGTTTAGTTCCCCAAAAAAATGGAAATCAATGGGAACCAAATTTTTTGGAAATCAACATTCTTCAAAATATCTTATTTTGTGTTCAGCACAAGAAAGCAAGTCATACAGGGTTTGAAACAACATGAGAGTGAATAAATGATGAAATCACATAAATTCACCCATTTCTCCCAAAATACATAAAAGTCATCGTTAAACTAGGAGAAGAATAGAGTGAATTTTATAGTTATGAATGAAACACGTCGTCAGATTTTAATTGAAAGGATTAGTATTGCGGCTTTCCTTAGACAACAGTGTATTTAACAAATGTCTTTTTTGCTTTTAATTAATTGAAACGTCTGAAACATAACATACATTTTATGTGGTTTAAAACACTGAACTGTTGTGATATAGGCTATGAAAACCACTGTATCTTATTTTGTGTTCAGCACAAGAAAGCAAGTCATACAGGGTTTGAAACAACATGAGAGTGAATAAATGATGAAATCACATAAATTCACCCATTTCTCCCAAAATACATAAAAGTCATCGTTAAACTAGGAGAAGAATAGAGTGAATTTTATATTTATGAATGAAACACGTCGTCAGATTTTAATTGAAAGGATTAGTATTGCGGCTTTCCTTAGTCAACAGTGTATTTAACAAATGTCTTTTTTGCTTTTAATTAATTGAAACGTCTGAAATATAAAATACATTTTATGTGGTTTAAAACACTGAACTGTTGTGATATAGGCTATGAAAAGCACTGAGCGCGTCTCTGGCTCAGCGCCAGACAAAGCGCGAAAGCGTGTTTGATTTTAGCAGTGAATGCTCTAAATACACCGGCGATCGTTCGCATTGAATGGTTAAAATCAATGCATTTCGTGGAGTTGGAGGGGGTCAAATTGAATCCGAGGTGGCACAAATCAGATCTGAAGGGTATGCTTCGCTCAAAACCGTGTTCGGTTTAGATTGCTGTCCGCGTTTAAAATCGTATTCTGGGGTGAGTCCTTCAGATCATTGCAGGGGGGCTTCAGAACGTCTGCTTGAAGGCAAGAATTTGAGTAGATAATGACATAATTTTGGTCTGTTAGTCCCACAAACCATCATATGGTTTTGAAAGTCTAGTATGGTCTAATTTTATGGTACTATCATGGGTTTGTTTTGGGACCGTTCCCATTTACTTTTTTAACATGGGACGAAATTGAAAAGGATGTTGTTCAAAAACACAGCTCAGTTCAACAGAGGAAAGTCAGTCATGAGGGATTGTAATGACATGAGGGTGAATTTTAATTTTTTTAGGCAACTGTTGCTTTAAAGTTTTAAGTTCAAACCAAAAACCCCCTGCTGTCAGTCCTCCTTACCCCACAGTACTGGTCTTCATTGAATATCTGAGGTGGGATTGCCGTGGGGTTGCCAGATTTACTCCTCATCTCATCCCGAACAGCACCGCCCACCGAGATGTCAATCAGCTCATACTTGATGCTCTTACTTTCCAGAATACGCATCACCTCGGCCTGCTGAGACTTGACCTGAGAAACAAGGAAGACGGTCAAGGTCGGGCGGTAAGTATCTGTGCTTTTCTTTCCTGGCACTGCTCGTTTGTTAAATAACTGAACTGAGCTGCTGTCTTATTTGCATTTGTCAAGTCACCGCTAACTATTCAGATTTTGCTCAAGATTCAAAGACTGCTTAAAGAGAACAAACTACAAAAGATACACAACACACAGTCTAATGAAATTAAGTGTTCAAAAAATGATAATTTACAGGCTAATAGCAATAGAATTGGAATGCATCTTTACACTACTTCCTAAAAAAGTCAAGTGATCATGTGAGAACATTATGTAGGAAGTGTATGTACTTGTATCCATGCAGGAAATGCATTATAAACAGTTCAGTCAAAACAATCTTCTCATCTGGTCTTTTAATGTACCAAATCAAACCATGCATTGCATGAATAGGTGTAGAAACTGTACTTGGCTTTTAACAACCAGTGGTTTTTCGACTACAAAATGCTGAGTTGATGATTAATAATGAAATATGACAAAGCTATATTCAGGAAGTTGGGTCATATCCGCAGAAACCACACCTTGAACAAGCCAACAGTTAAACATTAGCCTACATTAAAATGGTAAAAGATGATTAGGGCTTAATAGTGGATTATAATGCAAATCGCATACATTAAACATGTTTCCAACAATCCTTTCAGCATCCGCACTGGGTGACACATTATTTACCATTAGGATTTAATACACCGGCCTGCTGCAAACTCTCTCCTTACTGTCTTATTATTATTTTATTTCATTTGCTTTGTGTGTGTGCATTTTGTAGAGTGCATTGCTCAGTGGTTGCAAGCACTATATTCTTATTTTTTGCTATCATGATTAATACTAATTTGAGAGTAAATTGCAACATGAAAGAAAATTCCATGACACATGGTTGGTCATGTGATCTCAACATGGTGGCCCCCATGAGGGGGCGACCCCACTCCATGTAGAATAATTTATTTTAATAACATTTAATAACAAGCGTTGTTTATTGGGTAAAATTTTAAAAGCAAAAAATAAATAAATACGGTGCACTTTCAGTATTTTATGCTCTTCGCATGATTTGTATACCCGGTGATTATACAAATACAACAAAATCAGTTGTAAATCAAAACGCATTTTTTTCTTTATTCATAACAGATGTGCACAGACTCAAAGCTGCAATGCAACTGTAGCGTGCAGCAGCTCAAGTATACAGATTCAATCTCATTTGCCACTATATCGTGTACAGGATTTAAAGAGGACGTTTTTATTTACGCTCAAAAACACATAGTTTATAAGGGCACACTAATGCACCGTTAGTGAGAGAGGAACTACATTCAACACAGACAGAAAACATGACTTCCGCTATCAACCCTCCACATCGCTACAAACCCAGAATCTACAAACCACTGCGCTTTGCAATCACTTAAAACGTTCGAGTGCCACAATAATGTCTTGGTAATGCATTTCTACGCGTTCTATGTTGCAATAGCGTTTAAATGTGCTAGATGCATGGTAACGGAGCAGCTGGGTGTGTCTAGAAGCCTAATCCTCCATTTCAACTGTGTTTAACTCTGCATTCTTCACATGCACTGCTCGCTTACTGAGTCCACAGGGCCACAGGTTTATTCTCACCTCTCTCGATGCAGTGACGGTGGTGTAATACAGTTTGATGCCCATAGCGTTGGTCCTAATGTCCCGTTGTGTTTCTGGAGCCGATCAGTCAGTTCCCGTTCTCTTGCTCTTCAGTCGCTGTTTCATCATCACAGGCAGACAGACACCCGCTAGTCTCTCATTTAAAGAGACAGCGCCTTATTTCTACACAAGGAAGTACGCTGAAGATTAAATTGGCGGCCTTTTGTTTCCCCCATGAACGTGTATGTAAACAGCAGTGTTGGGGAAAGTTACTTTTAAAAGTAATGCATTACAATATTGCGTTACTCCCTAAAAAAGTAACTAATTACGGTACTTAGTTACTTTTTATGGAAAGTAATGCGTTACGTTGCGTTACTTTCACGTTACTTTTTAAACATGAGCAGGGCTTGATTGTTTTTAATATAAGAAGTTATATTTATAGCAAATGTAAAAGCCCTTTCACACCAAAAAGTGTAAAGAATAAACCTCAGGCTGAAGGAAAAGTAAATTCACATCCGTACAGTAGAACACAGGAGAAAACAACGCCTCTGTACTCCCGATTTCTCCCAATATGGGCACAGGAGACTTGTCAGTCAATAAATGGAAAAACAAAGTAACTGGCGTTACTTTTTTGAAAAAGTAACTCAGATATTTTCTTGTAAATTAAAAAGTAATGCGTTACTTAGACAAAAGTAATATGATTACGTAACTCGCGTTACTTGTAATGAGTTACCCCCAACACTGGTAAACAGTTAGTTTAACAATACCTATTAATAACAATAGACGACATATTTATTTACAAAAAATACATTTCATTTTTGTCTTTGTTTACTTTGCTGATTCTGTTCTGCAATTTTGCTGTATTAGCAAATAAAGCTAGTATTTTGCATTTAGAGTATCCTCTGTTATATTTTAATGGACATAATGATACTTAAGGGACAGTTCGCCCGAAATGAAAATTCTGTCATCAATTTTTTTTTTCATCCTCAAGTTTCTTTCTTCCGTTGAACATAAACGAAGATATTTTGAAGAATGTGGGTAACCAAATATCGACTTTCATAGTACTTTTTTATGCTGTGGAAGTCAATGGGGGCCGTAAGCTGTTTGATTACACACATTCTACAAAATATCTTCAGAAGAAAGAAACTCCGGTTCGGAACAACTTGGGTTGAGGGTGAGTAAACGGTGACAGAATTGTCATTTTTGGATGATCTATCCCTTTAAGATATGCATTGCCACAGTCCCCCTTGTTAAAATGATGTAGCCTACAATTAATAATACTAATGATTTCAGGAGTTACTCAGAACTAACTGATATCTACTACTAAACTACTGACCTTTTCTGTCAAAAACACATTATAACTAACAAGGAAAACAGGACAATACATGAACAGATGTGTACATTGACCCAAATGCCCACAGTAACAGTTCTGAAAGAGGAAGTTCCTCCCTCAGATAAAGTTTATCAGTATGTTCGCAGTGGAGAGTTTGCTCCAGTCCGGTCGCAGCCCTGCATTACTGCATCAGACATTGTCCAGGAAACTGTCAACCGTTTCCTGTTGTACAGTCCACATGGGACATTCATGTTTTTTGACCTCTTCATATTTGTGCCAACAAAACTATTTTAACCTAACATAAAGCTGACCACTCCAAAGAAAACACAAGAGGGCAGTACAGCCTCAGCCCATGTGTTTACTCAAATCACATGATGATCATCTCCAAACAAGGTGGCCTTTCTTTCATAGACTGTCCTATGGCCCAGATTTGCAAGATATAGGGATAAAAGCACCTACATAACAATTAAGTGATATAAATGTGTCAGGAATGTGCAGCATTGTGTAGCATAATACTATTTAATGTGTATTGTTTTTTTCAAACTGTAACTTTGTTTGCAGGGATTCAGTGCAGGGATTCCCAAACGTTTCTGTCATTTATTTTTCTGTAACTTTTCTGTAATATATTCAACTATACAACAGCACATTTGCAAGTTCACAGTTCTTTGAAGAATGCATTCAAAAATAAAACAGGTGTGAGTTGCCTGTGACTTATGGAAAGTATATGTAGGGCTTTTACACAGTGTGTGCCACTGTACAGACCAGGTTTATCCCTCACAGCCTCATTTTCATCCAAGAAAAAATTCAAAATGCCCTGTCTAAGGGGTCCGTGTACTTTGGCGTCCATTCATTTTTCCTTCTTTTTTGTTTACCCAGAAATTAAAATGCAGTTTCTTCTTTAATGGTTCAAACACTGATGAATAGATTAAGCAGAGACAAACTAATTTTGATTATTCAAAATTCATATTTCCACTTTGGACGCGCGTTCACGACAGTACCATGACGCGAGCGTGTGGCGGCGCTGACCCAGATCCGGCGTGATGACCACGACCTTGAACGTGGTAGTTACCTTGCTGTCTATGGGAGGGTCAGAGAGCACTCAAATTTCAACAGAAATATCTTAAATTGTGTTCCGAAGATGAACGAAGGTCTTACGGGTTTGGAACGACATGAGGGTGAGTAATTAATGACAGCATTTTCATTTTTGGGTGAACTAACCCTTTAAAGCAACAGCGTAAACGTGCAGCCACCGACTGAGTCATAAATGTTAATCAATCAAAAGAAAAGGAGAAAATCACTCACTGCTCTTGACTGAATCACTTATTAACTTTAATAAGAGTCATCTATATTTAATGTATACAGTGAAGGTTATTTTTACATTTATTACTTCATGACATGTCTGTAGTAGGCTATTTCTGTAGAAGCCTTTACTACTGAAAAACTAAAAAACTATTTAATTTGTATTTTTGAGTAATATATTTATTTATCATTTAGCTTGTAAGTAATACTTGGAGTGTTTACTTGCCTTCAGTAAGCTTGAGAATGTTTTATTACATTAGTTTATT